CATGTGTTGGCACCCGGGGCGATCACCCCCCCGTCATAAGTCCTACGGCACCCCCTGGTACCCTTTTTGGGGTTACCTACAGATTCGAAGATTGAAAGACAATATAAATTAATACTTATACATTTTTATATTTTACTTGGAAGAAGATATGACTCTAACAACACTTATGAACACTTTATTTGAATAAATCGCCAAATATACCACCGCGGAGACCCCAATCGCGTCTCTGCGTTCCATTGAACCGTATGAGCGTATGGATTTTTTGCGTTATTTTTCACAATTTCTATTTTTAAAAATTACCTATCGATAGCTTACTTTATTCTGATGAATAAATGTCATTACAAGTTTTTCTCTAAAACTGATAGTTTGGCTAGAAAAAAATATTTTCTATCCACGCAGTACGCCGGCAGCGTTCGGATCGGATATAATGACGTCATCGTCCCCGCGCCGGGCGGTCAGTGAACTTTTTTAGTAATTTGGCCATAACTTCGTCAATTTTTGTCGTAGAACAAAAATTTTTGGACTGTGTATTAAGGATTTCTTAGCCCTATAAATCTGCATTCACAGCTTAAAATCGAAATGATCCTCATTGGGCGCGCCTAAAAAGTTGCATAAGCGATAAGTTAAATAAAATACGAAATACATGCAAAATCAGACTTTTTTTAATTAGGACATTTGAACTAACATATTAATCAACTTTTAAACGTATTTTTAACAAAATTAACCTTTTTTTTAATATGAAAAATATTTTTTTACTTTTCCTAGTTTTTATCATCACAATTTTGACAGACTATATTCATATGGTCATTGCACACATGTTTTTGGCATTTCGAACATTCAGTCTTTGTTTTTTTGTCCTTAATTCTTGGACATACATGACACCTATTGTGTGATTGCGATCGGCCTGCTTCAGAAATAGATTCTTGGTCCTGAATTCCATGTTGTGTTTTTAGTCGTTTTTGCAGCGGTTGTGGTAGTGTGGGCATGCTGGCTCTTGATATTTGGTGAGGTTTGACTAAATCGACAGCTAGTCGCTTTAAAAATATTCTTCGGAACATATTAGAGTCAATTTTAGATTTGTGTATCACATAGGAATTGATACCTGTGATATTAGAAAAGATGAAAAATATCACCATCGGCCATCTTTTGGTGCGTCTTCTTACATTATAACTGGCGCACATTTGGTCGTTTGTATCAACTCCCCCTTTTGTTTTATTGTAAAAATGAATAATTTCGGGCTTTCTTTTCTCTATTACAATGTTTTAAAACAGAAATAATGAAATTAACATCATCCACTACCTCGAAATTTAAACCACACAAACAGTCACCTGGGGTGTCGTGCACCCCAAACACGCTTTCCGAGCCCAACCGTCCACAACAGAGCTCCGCTCGCAACTGAATCGTGTACGTTTTACGTGTTTACGAAGCTAACTAGAAGGCCAGCGCGCTAAATTCAAATTTTAAAAAGTTGTGAGCCTGGAAACCTGCTCTGGGGTGCATAACACCCCACGCGACCAATTAAGGGTTAATATCTATCAAACATAAAAATGTTATTCCTTACCAAAGCATAGTCAACATGCAACCAACCAGTAGTTGCCTTTGTGTCATCTTCTTCTTCATCTTTGGTACCAGTTAACTTAATGCGGTATCCAGACAATTGCATGGCAGCATCAACAGAGTTTTCTCTATCAAACCTTATATGACAGAAATCTTTTTTGGATAATCGCAGAGTATGGATCCTGCCATAAGGCTCAAAAATATCTCTCACAGTACTTTCCCTGATTTTCTCTGGTAGACCACCGACAAATATGGTCCGACAACCTGAAGGACGTGTTCTTCTAGGCGGATCTGGAGTGCCAGGTGTTGGTGGAATCAATCTGCAGTTCTTGTAGATAATCTCTTTCTTTTCTTGGCCTGACATATCACCCATTCCAGAATACATCCCCATCATGGAGGGATCCATGACCATGCCTCCCATCATCGACATGTCCATGGGTGTCCCACCTGTGGGCCCCATCTGTGGGCCAGCCATGGCACTCATATCCATTGGAGGTTGAGGCATCATGTCCATTCCAGTGTTAGACATCATTTCCATTCCTGTGGAGGGCATCATGCCACCTCCCATCATAGCTCCAGACATCATCATGTTAGGGTACATTCCTCCAGCCATCATCATGTTACCTAAATAAGAAAAATTGACATCATTACAAAGTTATGGTACCTAATTGAATAGGAACAATCAGGGTCATCTTTAACCTACTAGGGGCCCTGGGCATTTAAGGATTAAGGGCGGCCCTTTTCATCTGAAAAAAGGTCTTATTAGCAGATGGGGGCCCCTTGGTCGCGGGGCCCTGGGCACGTGCCCAAAGTGCCCAGTGGGAATGAGGGGCCTGGGAACAACTTGAAGACCAATCAATGATAGAAATATTTTTTTTGGCATCGCACAATTAATCTAAACAAATTTTAATAAATATGTATTAAATTTGAATTAAATGAAAATTATGATGCAATATGTACTATTTTTTATCATTTAAGTATAGTAATGAAGTAAAGCTTACCCTGGGGATACATATTAGACATCATCATTTGGTTCATGACATTGGACATATCACCTCCCTTATTGCTATCTTGATGATTACTCTTGTCGCGCCTTCGGCCTACTTGGTCCACTCTCATTGGAGAGCGAGACCTATCTCGACGATTACCTACAATAAAAATATAACATATAAAATAAAATATAAAATATGGACATGGGTATTTGGCCTTAATGATTCAGACATGTTTGAATAAAATAGCAGAAATAGAAAACTGGGGACTGAAATAGTAATTTATTAGTTAGAACGGCGGCATTAAAATCTGAATATCCGGTATGTAGCTTACTCAACAAAGCATGATAAAAAGCTAATTTGACTGGATATAAAATAAGTAAATAACTACTATTGCTGTAGCAATGTAGTATGTAGGTCTGTTATATAAGTTAATATAGAGATTTTCACGAATAATTAAAATTTCCAGAGTTCTAACAAGTAACATCACAACAACGAAAAAATACCATCTCACTGACCTGTCATTTTTGATGAACTAAGATAGCTTATTTCTGTATTTAATTTGTTGCCTCCGATGTTCAGAATTGTAAGATAAATTAAAGTTCTTTCGCTTGATTAAATTTCGCACAAAATGTAAAAAAAAGACATCCACTCGCGTCTTGCAACAACTTTTCCAAGAAAGAGAACCATAGACAAAAGACCATACACCACACCACAGATTAGCAACAGATTATTAATTGGGACCATAGACTACAAGATCAACGCAACGATACGATAGTGATACGATTATACATATTCAACGGTTTTTTTTATAGAAATGTTTCCCATCCCTATTTTATAGCATAGACAATAGAGTTTGATTGACAGCTGACAGTCATGTGTTATTTTTGAGCCCGGGAAAAATGTAACGCGAAATTTATTTTTGTTGCAAAACAATTTTCTCATAATGTTTGTGCTGGCTGAAATGAAAGATGTTATAAGAGTAACACCTGAATTTTTCCACCAAAGTTTAACAGAATCAATTACAACACTGCTTAATAGAAAACTGGCAAATAAGGTATTTAATTCTAACATAACCTCTCATCTCTCTCAAAACAAACATCAAATTAATAATTGGTGATATTAATAAGCTGTAAACTCCAAGTTTTCTTCTCATTTTTTATTATTAAATTTGTCAAATATTAACTTTCCAGGTGGTGCTAAATGTAGGTTTATGTATAGCTTTATTCGATATAACTCACATAGGCCATTCTTACATATTCCCTGGCGATGGTTCATCACACACCGAGGTTAAGTTCAGATATATTGTATTTAGACCAATAGTTGAAGAAATCCTTGTTGGTAAGATTAGAAGTTGTAGTAGAGAAGGAGTTCATGGTAAGTTTTCATGCCATAGTTAAATTGCTTCCTAAATGTAAAAAATGAATTTTCTTAACTTTTAAATTGATCCATTACTGGTTCCGGTACATTATATCCAATCCAGGATACTACTTTATTACTTAGAAATTATTTTCTTTTTAAAATTGAAAAAATGAAATTCTATAAAATGGGAATCTAACCCAAGACCCTTCACTTTCCAGATGACTGCTCTTTGCGTCTAAGCCACTACCTAACAAAAATAACATTATTTTACTTTCAGTGACTCTGGGGTTTTTTGATGATATCCTAATACCAGTAAATGCATTACAACACCCATCTAGATTTGATGAAACAGATCAAGCTTGGGTTTGGGAGTATCCTAAAGAAGATGGAGAGAAGCACGACTTATTTATGGACTCTGGTAAGAAATATTTCAGTTACTATTACTTCTTGCACTGCAAGTTTGAAGCAATAAAAATTCTAAACAATAATTACCTTGTGGTATTTTTTGCAGGCGAATCAATTAGATTTAGAGTGACAAGTGAAGCATTTGAAGAAAGTCTACCTACAGGACCTCCAGGGTCAGAATGTGCTGTGCAAACCGTAGCCCCATACAAGCTTGTAGGGGGAATCAATGAACCAGGATTAGGCTTGCTATCGTGGTGGGAAGCCCCAGAACAAGATGATGGTGATGACAATGATATTGAACAGGAGAATGATGAATAAATTATTATTTTATACTACATATTTGACTTTATCATTTACCTACCTTTCATGTAACTTATTATACACTAGCCCGCGACGACTTCGTACGCGTGCATCCCGTTTTACCACCTTAGGGGTGGAGTTTCGTAAAATTCTTAGCGGAAGCCTACGTCATAACATCTACCTGCATGCCAAATTTCAGCCCGATCCGTCCAGTGGTTTGGGCTGTGTGTTGATAGATCACTATGTCAGTCAGTCACTTTTGATATGTATTTAGATTAAGATAAATGTTAGTTTAATATTTCAAAAATCATAAATTAACTTCTGGCAAAATTCAATAAGATTATCATCACAGATACTTCCCCACATTTGAAATAAACACCACTAGAATGCCAGTGCAACAATTTATATTGTTCAACATACATATTTTTTTTACATTTTTTATATGCTCAATTGTAAAATATATTTGTATATTGCAATATACAATACAATAACATTAACAAGATACATATTTAATCTTATATCTACATTACGTTCATGATAATTTATTAACATTAAATAAGTATAACTGTCAACTATATCACAATAAGCAGGAATCACAAAAATCTCACTAGCAACTAAGAAAACAATTATGTATTTTGATAATAGTTGATGCGCTGAGTTCCTCTCCTCACTGGTTTTATACATTATTTTATGTGATGAAATTATAAACATAGGTAATAACACCATTTAAAACAAAATCTATTACATTGAGATCATTAGCATAAAAATTTGTCCTCTAGTCAGTTGGTTAAATATCTTTTGTATAACTATGATGATGGAATTGTTCAAGAAATCCTAATACATATAAAAGTTTCATGGTTGGTTTCTTTGGTTTTACAGATCATTGGCACAAATTAATAAATCTTAGAAGCTGATTGGAGCTACTTTGTGACAAGTTACTATAATTATATCGTAATTATTACTGGAGTTTAAGTGACAATACTTTCTTATGTTTAGACACCATCATTTTTGTGATACATGTTATCTTATTTGGTCACTTATTTCTTATACTAAAAGAGCTAATCTGCTTTTATTGTAAGAGCAGTTTTATATGAATAAGTACATAATATTTAGATTAGTGGAAAGACGGTAATATACAAGGAGAGAACTGTGATTGTCATATGTAATATTATATTTATAGCTAACTCCCACCACTAAAACATAAATATTTTCAATATTCCCAATGAATAATAATTTAATATATATAAAATACTTTTCAGTACCGATTTGTTATTATAGAATAAATCCTAAACAAAATAATGTACAATGATATTAGCTAAACCATCACAATACCAACAGAGTGGTAATTTCAATTTCATTGCATTACTACCTAATTTAAAGACGCGAAGGAAGATTGAATTTATGCTCTTACTGCAAGAAGTCCCAGAAAAAAAAATATAAAAAAATAAAGCTTAGTTTATTATATCACACTACCAACCTTCTTTAACTGTATTAATTATTCTTTTGGTGGCTCTAATTTATTATTTATGAGAAGGGATGGACAGTTCGCGTCTATAAATGAGATATAACACATTGAAATCAACACACTGCAAAATTTTTTAACACTTACATAATTTATCTAACAAAATACAAGTATAAATCGTCAAGCGTTAGCAAAAGACCATCCAAATAGTATCCAGTCTAGTCATTGTTTTAAAATACTCAGAACATTTTGGTCAGTCAGATGCTGACAGGCGACTTCATATAAATTAATCAATTTCTAGTTGCAATGGTAGTTTTAGAACAAATCCTGTTTGTGCTGGGTCGCTACCCAGACCCCTCTTTTTATCTGCTAGCAACTGAATGTAGAATAGCTTCCTTCGTATTTGCAAAAATAAATAGTATTTATTTATCACTATTGACAAGGAACTTAAAGAGATTGCATTTTAACTCCGCCAATTAACAATTTTTGTGCAAAAAAGCGATCCAATCATTGTATCGCGTACCCGTTCAATTTAAAATTGCTTACATTATGTAGCATTTAGTCATTATAATAGATAATATAAAAATAAATTAACATTATATTATTAGAATACAGTACAGTCAGCCTCCTCAAAATACATTTGTTAGCCTGCGTAGATAATCGTTGGTACGTTTTTACACTCACCCGGATTTTTAATTTGCGTCCTTTTAAACCAAAGTTAAATAGTAACCTAGATTAGCAGCACTGTAGTTAAATTTTTACGTCATATACTTAACATAAATGATATTAATTGCACAAATCAAGATCCATCGTATCTTACATCATACATCTTCTTTAACCAACAGCAACCACATTTATCCAACTAAAAATTATTTGAAAAAGTTAGACGCGAATGAAAAATCCCAGTTCGTAGATATGGCAACCCTACTTGAAAGTGTAGAGTAGCGGCGAGTTGGTGAAGTGGTGGGCGTTATTGACGTGCGCGATCAAACGGCCGTCTAGCAAGTGCCTGCCGTACTGCACCGCTTCCTGCTCGTCTTTAGCAAGCCCGCAGCTGATTAGCCAACGGACGAGGCAGGAGCCGCGGAATACGCCTCGGTAGCTTCGCATACGCCATCTGATGAGTAAAAAAGATCGTATCGTAATCGGACAAATCGTCTTGAACGTACTCTCGTACTCAATGCACCTTTGCTTCTTGACAACGTGAAATTCATGATGTATAGGTATTTGCATACTATAAAATCCTCAGGACATGTTTAGTATGGTATTCAAACAATAAAGAACAATAATATACCTTGTGTCCTTCGCAATAGCTTCCTTGCAACGATCCAGATGGTGCGTTATAAACTGGTCACAGACATGCTTCGTTTCAAAGCTCAGATCTTCTATAGCCGGCAACACCACGGTATCAGCACCATGCCTAAAAAGACAATTTTAAAATTGTTTAAATAGCATGTGGATCAAATACGCAATAATAAAAATTACACATTAAAACTGTTGCTTAAAGTTAAGCCAAATTGCCTGCCAGCCAAGCTTCCTAACATTTTGTCAGGAGGTAAAAATATTTGTGTTATAGCTTACCATTTGTTTTTGAAAAATCGAATAGCCGGAATGAGTAGTTCTTCTGGGTCCAGACCAAACAGTACAAACATAACGAGTGCCTGTCCATAATTGGCCGCAATATCCAGGAACTCGATCTCTATGAATACGCCGCTTTCGTCCCTCATCATCATCCGCCATGTGGTGTAAGTTATGCCCTAGAAAATGAAAAGGATGAATAAGATAATTGATTCAGCTTGGCTAAAAGGGAAAAGATTTCCAGTCATTCAGTATAGAGCGTGGGTATGGCTTTCTCATTACTCCGTAGGGAATGCACCTCAATATTGCTTGTTTTCTTCTGGAAAATTATCGCGCAGCGATAGAGTACCGATCGCGGTCTTCAACCTCGGTAGCTTGACTCTGTCGCGGGGCGGACCCTACCTAATAGACGCTTATGAACTCGAGCCTCTAACTGTATAGGTGCTTATGGATGGATTATTATTATAGAGCTATTCACAATAAATATGCTAAGGCTGTACGCGATGGTGAGCACGGTATGCTTAAGCGGCTGCCCGCCGCGGCCGCGCGACTGCTCAGGCGGCAGCAGCCCTAACTGACTGGCTGCTGCCTCCAGGTCGTTAAGATACTTGCAGGTACTAGATATACTTAACTACAGAGCTACTTACAATAAACATGCTAAGGCTGTAAGCGATGATGAGCACAGTATGCTTGAGCAGCTGCTCGCCGCGGCGCTCGACTGCTCAGGTGGCAGCAGCCTTAACTGGCTTGCGGCTGCCTCCAGGTCGTTCAGGTAAGATGCTTGACTATAAAGCTACTTACAATAAACATGCTAAGGCTGTACGCGATGATGAGCACGGTATGCTTGAGCAGCTGCCCGCCGCGGCCGCGCGACTGCTCAGGCGGCAGCAGCCCTAACTGGCTGGCGGCTGCCTCCAGGTCGTTCAGGTAAGATACTTGACTATAGAGCTACTTACAATAAACATGCTGAGGCTGTACGCGATGATGAGCACGGTATGCTTGAGCAGCTGCCCGCCGCGGCCGCGCGACTGCTCAGGCGGCAGCAGCCCTAACTGGCTGGCGGCTGCCTCCAGGTCGTTCAGGTAAGATACTTGACTATAGAGCTACTTACAATAAACATGCTGAGGCTGTACGCGATGATGAGCACAGTATGCTTGAGCAGCTGCCCGCCGCGGCCGCGCGACTGCTCAGGCGGCAACAGCCCCAACTGGCTGGCGGCTGCCTCTAGGTCGTTGAGGTACGTGCAGGGTCCAGATGCGTTGCAGCGCTGCTTCTGCGACGGCGGGCAGGCGCAGTCCCTGAGGATATTATGACATAATTAATAATAAAGTTAGTTACTTGTAAGTCTAGCGGCCGCCCGCGACTTCGTACCCGTGGATCCCGTTTTACCCCTTTAGGGGTGGAATTTCGTAAAATCCGTTCTTAGTGAGCACCTACGTTCTAAAAGGAACCCCTATGAAAAATTTAAGACTCCTAGCACTTGTAATTTTTGAGATTTCGTGAGTCAGATTTCGTGAGTCAGTCAGTAACCTTTCGTTTTTATAAATATAGATGAAACAAAAGCGAAAATCATTCAGTGAATGGCTATAGTCCGCAGCTATGGAGCGGGGCTGAGAGAAGAAATTAATAGGAAGATAAGACGTCAGAAAATAGTAAGAGGTCCTGGTCAGCCTACATGATTAAATAACGCGCATTTTTCCATTCTGTCATTCGCCAGTGGCGCCAACTAGTAAGCGCTGTCGCAGTAACCCTCATTAGGCGTTTGTAAATTATTAATTTTTATTAATGTGGTTTTAGAATCTAACATTATATATTTGAACTTTAATAACAAACCAAAACAACATCAAATAAATCAGGTTCCTTATCAATAACGGAAGGCTATGATTAACAGTAAGTAGGTAATCGAATTACGCGATACCTAATCCGATTGACTAGTCTTATTCAGGTATATTGTCACGGTTACCGAGTTCTGGCACACTTTTACACGTTTGATAACCTTGTGAACGTGATAATATTTCTGCCAAAGAAATCTAATCGCAGCGACAACCTTCGGCAAAAGTCATCGAAGCGTCGAAAAGAGGCGTGTCGTAACTTTGCCAGATTGATTTTCAGGTCGCCTAGGTTTTACTTGATAGTAATAAAATCTGGCAACATGTTAATAAAGTATGATGTAGTTAAATGTAGGCGCTGTAACATAAATGTTGGTGCCTTAACTCAGGTTTATTGAGAAGTCTATCAATGACAATCCACATTATTTGTTTAGAGAGTTGGCTTGTATTGGTCTTTGATTTAAGTCTATTTGGCGTTAAATACTAATGACATTAGGGATTTGCAAACAGCTTGTTAGGGTAAAAATATCACAGGAAATTAAACAATCATCATCATCAGTCATTAGTCTCCACTGCGTGAGTGAGTACGACCCTCTCCAATTTGTCAGAGGCAAGTCAGGCAAGTGGTGAATTTGGCCTATATTTTCCACGCTGACCAGACGGGTTAGGTTGAGTTGGAAAATAAACATCATTTTATTTTAAAAAGTAATGTCACACTTACCGTTGATTAGAGCTGCCAATGTCTTCAATGTCTTGCGATGAAATCAAGCCGTTTTGGCAGTTGGGGTCATCCGAGCAGCAGTCGTTGATGTTTCGGCTGGGCGATGGAGTGGCTGTAATAGTTCCATAACACCCTGTAACACGCCAATCTAGATATTTCTCTACAGACACAGTATTCTAAATTGAGCTCTAATATTATTGTATTATGCGATATTTTCATCTAAACTAACTTGTTGCTAATCGATGTCATAATGCTATTTAAAATAAAATAAATGTACTTCAAATAATTTACCTTGTTCCTCTATTGGTAAATTGAAACAATAGAAAAAATATTGCAATTAGAAATAGAAGAGATTCATTTGCTTCAATCGAAAATCTCTTTCTAATAGTTCAATGATTCCACGGTAAGCAGAATAGCTGAATTCTTATGGCATTACCATTAATTGTTTTTGGTGCAAACGCTTTTATTTGATCGCCATTATTGCCATGGAAGCAATGAGTAATGTAAGTAAATGCCACAAAGCGATAAACTATTGCATAATAATGAATAATCGAAGGTCGTTTATTTACTATTCATTTCCATTACAGCTGTGTCACCTATGATTCACAAGAAATAATTAAAATTTACCATTGTTAGATATAGACTGCGTGTGCGAGATTGCTTCCGCGTTTTCCACGAGGCTGGTGGATTCATCAGGAGGTGAAGACCCTGAAATCTCAGCCGATAGAGACGCGAACTGCGCGCTGCGGCGACGGAATCGCACGTAAACTATCAAACAGCCGGTAGTCACTGTAAACAAAAATATTTTATTTTTATCAATTCGACTATAGTCTGGTCTGCGAACACGTAGAATTATGTCAAATGACCCCAAGCTAGGTACCCATCCTTATCGCTCGCGCGTAATTATATTGCTGTCGCGACTGTGCGACGGACGCCCGCAGTGAGTGTGCGAGCGCGACAGCAATATAATTACGCGCGAGCGATAAGGATGGTAGCTTGGGGTCATTGGACAAAATTCTACGTGCTCACAGACCGGGCTTTAGGTATACGTCAGATAATATTTAAATTAATTTGATTCTATCACTTTGATTAGGCGTACTGCGTCAGAGAATATGTTGATCGTATTTTGTTTGAATTAGTTGTATTAAATGAATACAAATTAATTGTTTTAAGTCGCAATAAAAAGAAGACATTTAAACGCAACAGTATAAAATTATACAATTGCCAACCATTTTAATAAAATTAGTGTCTATCACTTAGACGCAGGCATGAAATTTAAAATAATAAAAGTATGAATTAATTTGTATTATAGTAGATACAAATAAATTTCTCCTTCAACCTTGTAATGTAGTACAATGTCAAACAATTACACTTAACTACTTTGTAATTAATATAAATGAGTTTTATCGAACGTCTAACATTATCAGTACTAATAATATTAAAAAATAAATATATTGTATAAATAAGTACACTATATTTTAATTGGCATTGAGTCACATGCCATTCTACTACGCCCATAATATCGCATCTCCTGTCACGAGACTTTATGAAAACTACAGCGTTACGACAATGCAACAGATTACAGTTGGACTTGGAACCTTTATAGATGTATGTCATTGAGCCAAAGCACACGATTTGTTGCGGCGGTTGTGCATCGCCAAAGCATTGTCGCTGCGTCGTCCTACATAGAACAATATATGTGCAGTGCTGTGCCACGCTTCGCGACATGGCGAAATCTTTGCGGCGCCGCAACGCATCGTGTGCTTTACTTGACGGACTTACCAGTAAGACAAAAGACGAGCAGACACAGTCGGATAGCATCAGCAGCTTTGCTGTCCAGATCACTGGCGGGACCCTTGGTGGCCAATAGCACGCCGGTCATAACACCGGGCGCGCCCCAAGCCACGAACCCTAATACTGGCCACAGCGTCACGACGAAGCAGGGACCGCGGCTCTGGAAACGCAGACCCAGTGAGATACATTTATCAACGGATTTTGTACACGTACAGACTCATTGAGATACACAAGCGAATTTAAAAGATGTTTGTTGTAGCTAGAGAGAAACAATTATTCAGATGGCGTAATGTGTTTGTTATAATATTCTTTAATATTAAAACTTAATGAATTAAGTTTTAATAAAAAAGATAAATGTGACGTGAACGTCACGTTTATCATTTGCTCGTGTGATCTAAATTATTTAGCCGCAAAGCTCCCTTCCCTTTATTAGATGAATTTCATTGCATTTCCTGAGCCTGATTAAAGTCTAACGAACATGGGAAATTATCAGTTTGCCAAGTTGTAATGGTAATAAGAGTTTTACCTCTAACATAAGCATTCCAACTGATAGCATTGAGGTCCAGAGCAGACAGGAGTACATGCTAAAAGTCCGTAAAGACTGCTGCAGGGTAGAGTACCAGGAGACTGAGTGGTTCGGAAGAGGACCACCCCAAATCACACTGATGGCTAGCAATATCTGTAAACATTATTTAATGTTATGGGGTCATATTTTCTAACAAAACAGTAGTATAAATATTTGGTATAAGTATAAAATGAAGCAGAATTACTTACCTGAGAGACAATCAAACAAAGAGTCAATCTATGGGGCATCCTCTTATATTTCTTAGTGAGAGTAAAAACCAGCAAAACCCAGAGTGCTGCTATTAGAGCCACAATGGATAGGTCAAAGCCGAATTTCTTCAGCTGGTCAGCATAATCTTTGTTGATAGATATCACTTGGGCTGACATGAACATCATTGGAGCAGACAGGAAAGTACAAATTACCATTGATGATGCCATCTGAAACATAGAAATGTAAACTCAAGACTTTGGTATTTTTAAAAACGTTAAGATATAAATGTGACCAAAAAATACTATGCTCCAATCTTACCAAATCAATCTCCAGTTGATATAAATTCGAAAACACGAATACAGCAGGGGCAGTAGGTATGGTGCCATACAAAAACGCGTAAGTGGACAATGAGCTCGTTTCAGATTCATTATATCCTGCATGGAGCGCGCTTACACATTCCCTCATCACCATTGGTAAAACAATCCTGCAGAAAAATTTAAGGTACATAATCATAACATAGTTAGTTTCTTTCTTCCTAAACAAAACTATATTATTATTATGTACTTTTATGATTGTTTAATGAAATATATTTAAATATTCATCAACATATATTTTTTATATCTAATCAAGCATTTTATTTATTTATTTATTTAATTAACATGCAAGTGAGCATTAGTTCAATTAACTATATAATATCTATTCATTAAAATATACTCACAGTTTGACCATTATCAGTACACATGGTAATACCAGTGCTGGGCCTCTTAACCTGTGAATCTGCCCTACCATACGAAGACCAAGCAGAAATAAGGCAGTTGCTGAGAAAGCTTGACCAAACACCTACAAATTAAGAATATTAAAGAAAAGTAAAAATAAAATAAGTTAGAATATTATAAATATTGATTTGATTTGGATAATAGCTTTGTTTTTTTTCTGAGTTATACATTGTCTGCAAAGAAATTCTTTAATGGGAAAAATCCCATTGGTAACATACACACCTCCAATAAGCCCTCAATGTAAATGGAAAGTTGATGTTTAAAAGCAATATTGCCAATAATTCCCAGTACTGTCATAACCAAGACAGGGTTGTATGCGATGCCTGTGACAATTTGTTTCAACAGTTTTGTTTTGGACAGCTCCGGCTTCCTATTTGGTTCAGTGCTTGTTATCTGAGCCCTTTGACATATTTCCTTTTGTTTATTGATCTCCATCAAAACAAAGGCAATCGGGTTCAATATAGCTAATGATATTGGAGCCATCAAGTACAGGTAGAGAGCATATTCCGGATGTGTTTTTTCATATATGGCATTTACTGCAAAGAAATATCATTGAAGTCAGACTACATTTAAATTATACTTTTTAACATTTACTTCACAGAATATTATGGTATATTAATGCTTACTTATAGGATATCCTAAAGCAAAATCATTGCTTTGAGTACAGAAAATTGCGAAAATTCCCGCTCTTCCAAAGTTTATTGGTTTGGACACAAAAACAGTGATCACAATAACACCTAGAAATATTACTCCTTTGGCAAGTAGTATGGCCAAAAGAAATGTCCAATTTACAGTGGTAAAATCGAGCCTGGCAAGTGATACAAAAATTAAAGAAGGCAGAGCAAAGGTGCCCACAAATGTTCCTATACCTTTGGACTCTGTTGATGAGACCACATTGAGACGACCTGCTATATACCTGAAAACAGATAACTATTAACATATAAGCAGCTAGACTTTATTTATACACATTAAGACATTGAAAATTAATAGAATAGAAAAAAAATTAAAATGTTTTCTTAACAGCTATGTTCTTCTTCTCTTCTGTGGCAGAACAGCTGTTATAGGTAACTAGCACTTTTTGTAAATGTACTTACCCACAAAGAATAATTGTAAAGCATTGAAAGAGAGCAGGGTACAAATTATCAGCTGCTGCATCGCCAAATCGAATTTCTTGATTATCTTCCATCCTTTCTTCTTTTTGAAACCCTATTTTAGTTTACTCACTGCACAGAATACTCTCATTGTTCCAGGGTATGCACAACTTGATTGACTTTCCTTTCAACGAATGTTAAATGCACTGAATATATTGTACTTAATTCAATTCAGCACAAAATAAATGTGCAGCATGAAGTCAAGTAAAAGGGAGTAAATTAATCGATTTATAGCTGGCTCGCCTTGTTTTGACAGAAAAATCTTTGATAACATGTGTCAATGTCAAATTCGTTGTCAAAACGTCACCGTTAGTCTCAGTCCAAGAGTAATAATGTAATACGATGATTCGATTTATTACGATTTAATCAGAGTATCGAGTAATATTTTAATTTAATTGTCTCAAAATCGAATAATGGTTTGATTAAAATTCTCCGTCTACGCACAGAGCACGTAATAGTCGGCTACGATTACAATAAAATTAATATTTGTAGTGCCTCAAAATATTACAATCAACTATAGATCTAGCGCTTAACTCAGTCAAAAAAAAAGCTTGTAAAAAGCACTCCTTTTTCACAAATAACTAGATAGTACAATGATTTTTGATTATATTCATTTCTTCCTAACGACACAGTTATGATTTCTTTCCGGTGCCTATAGATAAGGTGTGTGCCAACCTTATCTTTTGGGCCAATTACGATTATTCCACGATGAGAAGCCCCATTTAAAAAAGAAAAGAAAATCAATACTTTTTATTACCACTGGCAACACCTGTAATTTTCTAGGCGTTTCCGTTTCCGTCAGCCATTATCGAGTTGTTCGTTCGCCGGGTCTGAGTTAGGTCACAGTGAATGAAAAATCAAATTATTTTCAAAGTCTCTCTTAATTGAGAGGTATGTATTCTTAGAATTACTTATTTGATGTAATTGAAACCATTTTTCTATTAAATATAAAGTGAGACGTAACTTTTCCATGCATCCTCCTGTTCTAGATAACTACTCAAGCGTATACCACCACGTAGATTCTTCGACGGATTCCTACAAAGCACGAAGATGCAGTACAACGGATTCCACAATCAACACCCAATGTAAGTTCTATGACTTTAGCTCTAACATTCATACGTTTTCATCAAACTTATTTTACATGGCCATAGTATTTCACAGCGGCCATTTTGTGGATTGACCAGCTCAGCTGATAATGGTTGCCACTTCCCTATTCGTAGGTTTGTTAGTCCACGTTAACTGTGTTCTTATTGTTGAAATGAACATAGTCTACCAATTTTTAGATCATAAACTTAAGAAATTATGTTTCTTTGTTTCGTCATTGATTTTTCATAGTCTCGCAGTTACCTAGGTACCTCCTACTTTCCCTTCGACCTGCGCAAATTACCTCACGAGGCAGCGATATTTAGCATGTTGCGCCGCCGATCAGAATTACCTTTACCTATGACGTGCGTAGTGTCTATGTTTATTGTAGTGGATGCTTTTCTTATCATTTTCTGTGGTTTTGTGAGGAATCAACATTTCGCTAAATTCCAATAAGGAATGCTAAAAGAATACATAGCAATTTCTAATAGTAATTTGTGATTATTTGGTCGATCTTCAGACTTGCAGTGCAGTAGCAGTGACTTGTTGAATTTTTTATGCTGCTGAAAGTAGCCGCCTACATATTTTTTTTGTATATTTAAAAAAAAGCCTACTTAACTTTTTATTTTAATTAAAATCATTCTAAAAATACTTCTATCACATAAGACATAATGATTAACTAATACTACAATTTCCAAAGCATATTTTTATAAAATCAAGGCTTGAAAGTTCATGCCTTTTTGTCTACAATACATCACACTACTTCAATCTTAAATATTATACATTTGTGTTCTATTGTGTGTGTGAGAATAATCCTTTTCAACATTTCCATAATAATGTGAAATATCAAGCTCAATTATCGAGTATGAAATCATTTCTATTAACTAATTATACTTACATACCTAGTATAGTATGGACAAAACTGGTTTAAACATACAAATTCCGGCAGGTTTATTAAAACAAAAATTTGTTTAGATCAATCTCTTATAAATACAAATAAATTGTCCTAGGAAATGTTATAACAGATTACGTTCCAACAGAGTAAATAATGTAATTCTTTATACAACTAAGTTCATTTAGTTACAGACCTCGACCAGACCGGAATGAACAATTCGGTAAAATGCCATTTTTTAATGGTCTACATGATTTTGGCGGGCCAAAAAATTTTGGTGGCCCAAGGAACAACAATCTTGGCAACAAAAACAACTTCAGGCCAAGGAATGATTTCAACGGAATGAGGAATGATATGAATAATCAAAAGAATGATGGAAACCCGAATGATTTTGGAGGACCAAAAGAATTTAGGCCTAGGAATAATTTCAACAACCAAGTTCAGAAGAAAGAATATGATGGAGGACTAAAGCCTGGTGGCAGCATGCAGATTTACAACCCCAGAAATGATTTTGGCGGTCCTAAGCAGCAAAACTTCCAGAAGAACAATTTTGGCCCTAAAAATTTCAACAATCAGACTCCCAACAATGGCCAAAATTTTGTTGCGAAAAAAGTTTTTACGCAGAACCCTGGACAGCAACCTATGGATTTCAATGCTCGTAAATTGCAGAGTAAGAAAGCTAAACATCCAGGTGACAGTTTAGTAAAGCCAATCTGGGATTTAAGTAACCTTGAACCTATTCAGAAAGACTTCTACAAACCCCACCCCAATGTTGAGAATCGCACTGATGATGAAGTTCAGATGTTCCGTGCGGAAAAAGAAATAACAGTGAGCGGTAATAACATTCCACGCCCTAATCAAATGTTTGATGAGGGTAATTTCCCTGACCATGTCATGACCACTATCAAGGAGCAAGGATGGACTGAGCCGACTGGCATTCAAGCTCAGGGTTGGCCAATTGCTCTGTCTGGTCGTGACATGGTGGGCATTGCTTCAACTGGTTCGGGTAAAACCTTGGCCTACATGCTGCCTGCTGCTGTGCACATTGTACATCAACAAAGAATTCAAAGGGGTGATGGACCCATTGCTCTCATCTTAGCACCTACTCGTGAACTGGCTCAACAGATTCAATCTGTTGCTCAGGCTTACAGTGCAAGGGGCTGCATCAGGAACACGTGTCTCTTTGGAGGGTCTCCCAAAGGACCTCAAGCTAGAGATTTGGAGAGGGGAGTAGAGATTGTTATTGCGACACCTGGACGATTGATTGACTTTTTGGAACGAGGCACTACTAATTTACGTCGATGCACTTATCTAGTCTTGGATGAAGCTGATAGAATGTTGGATATGGGTTTTGAGCCTCAGATTCGTAAGATTATTGAGCAGATTCGTCCCGACCGCCAAGTGCTGATGTGGTCTGCCACCTGGCCAAAAGAAATCCAAGCTCTGGCTGAAGATTTTCTTAATGATTACATCAAAGTAAACATTGGATCATTGAACTTGTCTGCCAATAATAATATAAAACAGATCATTGAAGTATGTGAAGAACATGAAAAGGAGGGCAAGCTGACTAACTTACTAAAGGAGATTGCTTCTGAGAGGGACAACAAAGTTATTGTATTTGTGGAGACTAAGAAAAAGGTAAATATAATTCTTTAAAATTTAAATGAATTATGAAGTACATTAGTAATTAGTGTTTGTTTTACATTGGCCTTGCCTTATTTTAGGTGGATGACATCGCGCGTAGTGTACGAAGAAATGGCCACAAAGCCCTCGCTATTCACGGAGACAAGTCGCAACCGGAACGAGATGCTGTCCTCAGCGAATTCAGAAATGGTGCCACTGCCATCCTTATTGCAACTGATGTGGCTGCACGTGGTCTGGACGTTGAAGATGTCAAGTTTGTCGTCAACTTCGATTATCCTAATTCATCTGAGGATTACATCCACAGGATCGGTGCGTAATTTCTATAAGTCCTCACTTCCATACATTTATTAAAATATATTGATAGTAATATTAATCGAGTTTTTTTTTCAAGGTCGCACTGGGCGTTGCCAACAGTCTGGAACAGCATACACTTATTTCACAAGTGGAGACTGCCGTCAGTCACGCGCTTTAGTCGCTGTCTTGCGTGAAACGGGACAGAACCCACCCGCTAAACTTAATGAAATGGCGCGCAACAACAATAACAACTCTGGTATGTAGAAATCAAATAGAAAATCGAGCAATTTCTAATAAATATAACATGACAACTATAATTACATTTAATTGCAGGACGTAACCGCTGGCAGCAACGCAAGGAAAACAACAGCGGATCTAGCTCACCGCGTCAACAAAACAACCAATGGAATAACAAAATGGCTTCAGTGGTGAATGAGGAAGTGCCCAACACTTATCAAAACCGAAACACCAACCAGCAACCACCACGTTTCAACAATCAAAACCAGAATAACCAGACTTACAGGCAAAATAATTACCAGAAGCAGCAAGTTCCATTCCCCAGCCCAAATGTCTTCGAGTCCATGGGTAGCTACCAAGGAGGATACAACAATGGATACCAGAATGGATACAACAATCAAAATGCTTATGGACAGCGTCCTTACAACAGTGAGTGCCTTATTATTGGTATAAATAAATTTGTGTAAAATGAAACAAATAAAATTCCTATCTAAACATTTTATTTTACAGATGCGCGCAATGGAAACCAACAGTACCGCAACAATAACACGAATGGAAACAAGTCGGGTGGATCTGGTTCGTCGTTCGGTTCTCCTCCGCCCCACTTTGCCACACCTCCCCACTTCCCACAGATGCATCCCCACCACCAGGATATGCTTGGTAAGACATCATTTATATGTTCACATTTATTTCTATTGTTTCTTCACAAATGATACTACAATTTACAGTGACTCAATCGTCGCGAATGTTACATTGCATCATTTAGATAGCAACACTGGTTCAAACTAAAATTGGCTGCGTGAAGTTTTGTCTACAGACCTAAGACACTATCAAGCTAGTCCTAAGTCATAATAGCACCTACGGTTTCAAAGGCGATGTTGGCGATGTTTTTCTGTGGTACTAATCTACTAATGTTCCTGCGCGCAGGTGGCAAGTTCTACGGCGGCGGCGTGGGCGGCGGCGGGCCGTGCGGCTACCAGGCGGCCGTGGGCGCCAGCGTGCCCTACGCGCACCTGCCCCCCGGCCCGCTCCTGTACGCGGCTCCGGTCCAACAGTAAATTTTCTCATTCCCGCATCATCTCCCCACATGATATGCCGACAGAAGCTAATTGTGGCTACGTCGTTTAGCTAAAAATCTCACTGTCTCTCTAAGCAAAATGGATGTCTCAGGATTTCAGTAAACGATTCGAGTACTTAGAATTTTTAACGTTAGATTACTGAATGTTAAATGTTGACCATGCGGGGCGTTGAGTTTTTTCTTATGATATTTCAATTTTATTATTTTGATTAGAATATATTGTAGATCTGAATGAAGCTTACGAAATTATTCACGATATGGATATAGACAATGTTGATTATCTTGATGTCTTTCCTTTTATCACATGGTCATTTTTGTCATAAGAAAGAGTTACATTAATGCACCACTTTGATGTTTTGTGAATTATCTTCAGATCAATTTGAATTAACAAGTATAATAAATGTGTGTTAGTAGTATAAGGGATCATATTCTTCAATTTGCCACATTCGCTTTGCCATGATAACAATAATTAATTCAATCACTATAATAGTAGTATTGTAAGAGACAATTTGACTCAATGCTGTAGCAACATTGTCTTAAGAATAAAGGAAAAAATATTTTGAGGTACCTGATTAATTAAATTGGAAATTGTTACTAAAATTCCAGTAGATGTTTTAAAATATTGTTGTATGGTAGGTACTTGTCAAAATGTGAATGTGGCAGATGTTGAATATGAAATCCAATGTAAGTTTGGTGGAACATTAAGATAATTTGTCTGTTCTACCTTTAGATTTAATCATTATATTTTAGAGTAGTCGGTGTGGGTACCCTCTTTGTGTAATCCCGGGTGCCTTTCGTTTTTCTTTCAAATGTCTGTATGATGTACGAAATGCACGAAACATATAGAAGATGAGTGAAATTATAGGAGAAGGATTCAGAGGAAAGTGTTATCTGAGATATTTTATATAAATTATTTTTATTGTTAATGATTGATCTTATCCAGTGAAAAGTGGGACAACTTAGTATTTAGAAAAATTAATACTTATACGCGTTGAATTAAAAAGCTTTTTGATATACTTCATTATAACAATCTGTATTGCCAGATAAAATTGTGAATATTTTTCTTATGTAAAAATGATGTCAATGACATTTCAAGTCACTGATTTCAAGGTTATTTTTTTATTGAAGATTAGATCTTGATAATACTTGAATATTTATGTCTAGGATATATTAGTCTGCGTCAATTGGGCATAGACAACAGATGGACTATGAAAATGTTCACAGTGGATTTTACCATACTCAAAAATGTAGAAAGTATGTAAATAACATGCATTTATCTTAGGAAGATTAGTATTTTGAGCGTGTTAAACAGATAAATAATCGAACAATGATTGCTTTCATTTCTTAGCAGAATAAGTATTTTCTTCATATTGTTTTTCGATTATTTTATATGATATGGTTTCAGATAATTCATCTAGTTAATTGCTGGATTTTCTTTGTACGTAAACGGGTTCTAAGGGCTCATAATATCCATAGGTACAAATTGTCTACTAAATCAGTTAATGTGTGTAGATGCCCGTTACTGTCCAAAGATTTGAAAAATCTGTGATATGTCATTTAACTATAACCTGTCGTTGCGTTGTTGGTCAATTTTGATAAATACAAAGGGCACTTTCCTGCATTTGGGATGTGTTTTAGACAAAAATATATTTTTTGACTATTTGAACGGATTTCACGAATGTTTGTGACATCAAAGCTCGCAAGTCGTTCACAGATATAATATAATGATATGATAGGTGTAAGATTTAATAATTTATTGTTATTCAATTTAGTTTTCAGTTTACCTTTAGGTGACGAAATTGAACCAGTTCAAAGGGACGTAAACGTTATTATCTATATAGGAATCCCGTTTTTAAGTGCATCTCGGTTTATGATGTTAAAGCTACGGGTCTTGAGCGGATATAAGGGGTGAACATCGTGTTCGTGAATCTCGCGTTTGTAATTACATTTAGAATGCGAGATTTGCTTTGTTATTTGTGTACATTTTACGAGAAAGACTGCCATGAAAGGATGTGTATATGTGGTGACTCATCTCAGAGGTGATTTCATAAGTGCTAACCTGTCCACGGGAGGTCGTCGCTGATTTTATTCGGACTGATAGGATTTTTGTCTGAAGTAGTGTGTGCTCTGGGCGGTAGGAGGAAGTATGCCGGGTTAGGGTTCATGCGTATAAGTGCGGCAAACAAGTGTCGTTTCTCGAGTATGGTCGCGGAACGCAGGTAGCTCCTGTATTATTATGTACAAAGTACTGCACCCACCTCTACTAAACAACTGTGATAATAACACTAAGTAGCGTAGCAGGCGATTTATATACTAGTTACGTCCAAGAGAAGGGATGACATCATATCTGACATACTGTATTGTGATAATAATATATCAAGGCGTAACCACTTCGGTACGTTTTGACTAAACGTTTTCTCTAAACAAGACTGATTATTTCTTATTGATAAATATTTTATACATGTTCCACTTTGACTGAATGAATTAAGGTTATTGGTAGAATTCTTCTCTTGCTGTGTGTTTTACTTATTAAAATTTTTTTTGAGTATTCACTATGTTGGATATGTGTCAAAAAGCCTTTCTATACGGTCACCAAATTGATATAAAATATTCTCATTTGTGTTATATTCATTAATTTCTAATTCCTTTGTTGTGATGGAAAATGTTGTTGACAAATTATGTAGCAGCGGCAGTAAACTACATTGTAGAGTATATTATTTTTGTTGTTAATTTGCAAATTTTTATTTATTCAACCATTATTTCATAGGCAATCGTACTTTCATGCTTTACTATAAGAAGTTGTTTTTCAAAAACTACAAGTACGCGAAAAATATACATAGATTTTTAAGTATGTGGCAATGCAGATCTTCATAAATATTGATTAATACTACAAACAACATAGTTTGTATTTATTCAATTTATAAAATATATTGGAGAGAGGCTCCTTATAAAACTGTCCCAAAGGGAAGTCTTCTGAATGTTTCTGAGAAGTGCATTTCTTCTATGTAATACAGTATTAAATTCAGATTAATAAATGAATGTATAATTATTATGAAACGTCTTTTTATTTAATTTCGTCGTTTCCCCCTTTATTATCATTTCAACCACAACAGCTACTGGCGAAAATATCTCTGCTTCATCAATAATCATCATCATCATTTCGTCCCCCACTATTTGTCCACCACTGGTGGACATCGAGAAAAAATGTTGCAATGTCCACCAGTGGGGGACAGCGCTACTGAAATCTTCCCGTTGGGCCCTACTGGTGGACACTGAGAAGAAATGTGTTGCTCTGTCCCTTAGTGGTGGACATCGAAACCGAAAAAGTTCCGTTGTCCTCCACTATTATATTTGTGTTCATGAATACAAACATTTTAAGTAAATCTTATACTAATAATTATACATAATAACATACATACATTTTTAAAGCATTTTTACTATAGTTTAAAACAATCCTTAATTTATACTGAAGCCCCTGGGAAGTGTGCGTTAATCGGAACGGTTTTGTCATTTTTAATTTTCCAAGTACCCACAATGTTCATGTTATCAGAAATTATTGTGTCGGTAATGTTACTATTTTGCACTTATTATCTGTAATAATGTCGGAAATTGCAGGATCTAGTTCACGACAAATTGAAAAAGTTTACATAAATAGGAAAGGTGGGATGGAAAACTGAGAATTATATTTGATACGAATTAAAAATGTTTATTTTTTAAATAGTGGGGGACAACAGAACTTTTTTGGTTTCGATGTCCACCACTGAGGGACAGAGCAACTCATTTCTTCTCAGTGTCCACCAGTAGGGCCCAACGGGAAGATTTCAGTAGCGCTGTCCCCCACTGGTGGACATTGCAACATTTTTTCTCTATGTCCACCAGTGGTGGACAAATAGTGGGGGACATCGGGAATAAACGATCATTTCAGCCATAGTAGGACGTCCACTGCTGAACATAGGCCTCCCCAATGCTTTCCATGTTGATCGATTGGTAGCGGCCTGCGTCCAGCGCTTCCCTGCTATTATTATATTAATATTACATTATTAACATCCTGTATTGGTCGGAGTCCACTAGAAGAAGGTAGGAAACTCATTTTTGTCCCGTGCAGGTTTTTAGGGTTCCGTACCCAAATAACACGCTTGTTGAACAGTGTTTTAATTAAAGTGACGTTTAGTATGGAAATGTCATTTTAAAACGGTGTTCAACAACTGTGTAACTTTTTATTAGTAAGGACTAAGGCCGGCAATACACGGACCGCTTGAAGCAGTCTGGGTCGACAGCTTCAAGCTGCGACTGCACAGTGAACTGCTGAGTTCTATGGACGCACATACACGAACCGCTCGAGCAGTTGCAACTGATTCGGGCGGTCGACAGCACGGTGAATTTTCATCGGGCGGTCGACAGCACGGTGAATTTTCATCGGGCGGTCGACAGCACGGTGAATTTTCATCGTGCGGTCAAGCAGTCGCCTGCCATACACTGACTGCTCGAGCTGTAGACAGCTCTCGCGCAATTACCTCCGCCCACTTTCTTCATTCCACGGCGCGCGCGCTTGTGATTTGTTGAGCAGTTAATACCAACTGCTCGAGCAGTTATCACTAGCAGTTTCAAGCTGTTGACTCTTGACTACAAGAGTGGTCCGTGTATGTTGATCACTTCACTGACTAACTGCTCGAGCTGTCCGTGTATGGCGGGCCTAAGGGGGTTAGTGTTCACAAATGCAGCGGAGGCATCAATGACTTTTGTTGGTGATATAATATGTAATTGATGCCTCCGACTGCATTTGTGAACACTTGTCTTTTTTATATTTTTAGTTCATTTTTACGCAGTTGGGTTTTTTGTTATTTCAATAATAATTTTATTTTAATCTTTTTAGTTAGATACCATACATTTTTGTAAGCTACATAAAAAGCCCATTATTATAGGACCGTTAAAATATTAGATAGAATTAAAAAAAATTGCTTTATCAAGTACTAATATAATAATACTATTTTAATCTATCTATACTTATAATATGTATAATATTATAATCTATACTATCTATTCTATACTAATATTATAATGCGAAAGTAACTCTGTCTGTCTGTCTCTCTTTCACGCCAAAACCACTGAACCGATTTTGATGAAATTTGGCATAGAGATAGTTTGGGTCCCGGGAAAGGACATAAGATAGTTTTTATCCCGGTTTTTGAAACAGGAACGTACGTGATAAAGCTTTTCTGTGAAAGACAAAATTCCACGCGGGCGGAAAGTTAGTTATTTATAATATGTAAAAATCAATACCTACCCGAAAACTCCCGGATCCTTGGCCTGAGATGTGGTCTGAGATAAAAACTAACTATGATGCCATCTGGAATACCTTCCGAACGAAAGTTTTATTACTGCTGCCATCTATTAGAGTTCTTCATTAACTCCGGTTTTGCGTCGAGTTCTAGCATTTCTAGCTATGGGCGTGCTATGGGTAACTACTTATTATTATATACATACGCCAAGAGATGGCGTGCGCAACGTAGTTTTTGTGTTTGACGTCTGGGTTGAATGTCTGATAGTAAATTCACAATTTTTTTTCGGAAAATTGTTAGTTATTAATGATAAGTGTTATTCGGTGGAGATTTAACATATTTTCTTAGTTTAATGTGTATTTATTTTAACTAAAGCTTTAATAAGGTTAATTTTCCGTGTTTGTGATGAAATTGGTAACAACATCCTATCGAGGTCACTTGCAATGGCTGAAAATGTAATGGTACGTATTTACTGAATTTATTGAAAGACTTCTAAAGGTTTGTTACAGTTATGGTCGGTTTAAGCGTGTATTGAATAGTTTTTGTGTAATAAAATAATCGTAATGTTGGATTTCCAATGCCACATAACCAAACTTTCGCTAGTAGACTAGACGGCCTTGAATCTAATCTTGTCAAGTCAATGTCGTTTGTTTATCAGTTTCGTCTAGATCGAATGTAATTTTATTTGGGAAGTAATATTTTATAAATTTTAATACATAAAAAAACTTCCATGCATTCACGGGTTTAAAACCATTTAGGTTTAGGTTTAGATTTTAATAAGTCCCTTTAAAATTTAATGGTATCAAGGTGGGTATTAACTATAATACCTACATACAAATAGGTAGGTAGGTAGGTAGGTATCCTACAACTTCCTTGATTGGGTTTGGGTTGGTTGATCGGCTCACAATAAATTAATATTTTTAATTAGGATAAGGAAGGAAGATTTTTTCAGCTGGCAGATTTTATGAACCATGTTAGGGGGCGTCCATTAATTACGACGTGGTACTTTTAGGGGGGGAGAGGGGGGGGGGGTCTCGGGAAATATCACGTAATATTTTCCGCAAGAAATATAATGTTATTTTTTATGATGATAATGACGTTTTATTATACGGGCGATTCTCTGTAAGCTCGTAATCGGCTGTCCCGGCCGATTATTTCAAAAAGCAATTAAAATATTTAAAAAAAACACACTCGTAATGAAACTTTAACCCCAAAACTTTAAGGGCCCTTTGTTTTTAGAACCATAACTATTTTTAGTTTTCTTCTAGACTCGATTGAAGCCCGAAAAATACAGTCCCCTGGCTGTCCCCATCACTGCATTTCCGCCTAGAAATGAGATTTACGAAGAAGATATTGAAACTACATACATCTGGCAGCTCATAGCATAAAGAATAATAATGAAATTATATTATTTTCGTAAAACAAGCTCTCATTACCAATTTTATTTATTTAGTAAACTCCTGTAAACTTTGTCCCCAGAATTTTAATACAGTCCCCTGCCAAAAATTTAAATTCATAATATAAAAAAACTATAATAGCTACGATGTTTTTTTGAGTAAAATGAAATGCAATTGCTATAAAATACGCAACCTTGCCGAATGCGGCGTTGAGATGCCTATTTTTTTAGTGTCAGAGCGTCATTTGTGCGGTGAACATGCGCTTGAATCGCCACCACACACAGTCCTCTGGTAAGTCATAATATGCATGTTAATTACTTAATAATCTCTAAATAAAGTATAAATTGATATAATATTTATGTCTCAATTAATCGGTAGATTCTTAAAACACTATTTAACATCATTTTCGTAAATATTGTGAAATCTAGCCGAAATACACAGTCCCCTGGCAACAGTCCTCTGCCTGAAATTGCACAAATATGTGCATCAGGTCGCAAGTATTCATTCCTGGTCCATCCTCGGCTTTCCAAATAAATATAAAACACTAACAATGAGGCAGCAAGGTTCTGGAGTAGAGGCCATGTACCGGAAAACGCAGCGAGAGACAAGCGAAACCGAGCCACCTTGTGGGTGGACCGACGACCTCATAAAGGTAGCAGGAAGGCGTTGGATGCAGGCCGCTCTACCAACTGTGCGATGTGGAAGTCATTGGGGGAGGGCGGGAGGCCTATGTTCACCAGTGGACGTCCAGTGCTGAAATGATGTTGATGACTAACAATGAAAAGTGTCAGCTGCTTTTGCATCAGTGGTTCTTGTGAGCATTATAACGGAAAATCTTTAAACTGCTGAACCTGAATTGACCAAAAATTCCCCTCAAAGATTTGATGATGAAATAGCAGGAATGGGTGGTACTCGGAATTCAGTGCCTCAGAGGTTAAGGTTAATTTTTGATATGAATGTTTATTAAGGAAAGTTGTTATTTCTGTTAATTTTTTATAAAGACATTTTGTTTACTATTGATTTGCTATAAAATAATAAATAATTGATCAATTTAAAATGACTTTTTCTTAAAGTATAACAGTCCTCTGTCTCAATTAACAGTCCCCTGTCATGATTTCTTGGAAAATCGCTAATAACTCGGAAAATATTAATAATTTCAGTGGGACTCCTTATCTAACTAAAATAATAGTCAATTTTCTTT